GAGGGCTTGCTGCCTTACCTTACTACTCTACTCTGTCTTTAGCATATACTAATTAATAAACTCTTTAACTTTATCCTTAGGCTCTAGCTATAACGAGGGCAATTTATCTCGCTATATAATAGGCGTAGGCGTTAGAGTAAYAGTTAATAGTRTGTTRTTRTATATATAYACAACTTAATYACTACTACTACTACTACCTTAACGATTRAGCTTCTAAGCCGAGCGTACGGATTRYATRTTRTTRCTATAGCCGCCGCGTTCCTTCTTATTAATTAAAGTAGTAAGAACATTATCCCCTAGATGCTCTATATTAAGGGCTCCTATACTAATCCCTCGCTACTACGCTATAAGACATAAACTATAYACCGGTAGGTGGTTAAAAGCCTTATTACGTCTATTAACGAAGTATGTCCTCCCTCTGTTCTTATAACCTCCGTTCGTATAGGGCTATCGCTTAGTAATTGCTTCTAAGAAGTTACTACTAGCTACTAAGGTTGCTTAATCCTTAGGCAATCGATAAAGATAGATAGCTATAGCAGTTCGCTRCTATGTCGGTTGTTRTATAAGAGCAATAATAGGCTCTAGTTTAAGGTCTACTACTATACGGAGGTCCTTTTTACTACCCTTATAAAACGTTCTTAATTRCCTTATAATGCTATACTAACTGCTATCGTCCCTCTACGTTTGCCTTACCTGTGCATTAACCGCTAAGTTGCTATACGAAGCGGTTAACTTAGCTGTTTTAAATGCACCTCTTATGTTCCGCATTATAGTGTTTATCTAGTTCGAAACATTACTAGCCTTGTCCTTATTACCGGTAACTAGCTATGCTTTATCCTCTTGTTCCTTGCCCTTCTTATAATATAGGCCTATCCGGTATACTAACGGCTTATCTCTAAGTGGCGGCTTAGAGCGTAATATTAACACTGTGCGTTCGCTTAGTGCTGCTACTAGCGACACTCGTAGCCGGTTTAATAGACTAGCTACCGCCGCTATAGTAATAACAATAGGCTCTTTACCCTTACCCTTCTTCCGCTTCTTCGTTAGAGCGGCGACAGCTGCATTAACTAACTTCTAAGCAGCGTACGCCGTATTAGCTTCCTTAGCTAACCGGCGCTAGCGTTCCTTCTACTTCTTAATCTTCCTCTTTTTATACCGTTGTTTAAGGAACTCTACGTATTCTACTTCCTTACGCTCTTCCGCAATCCTCGCTTCTTCTACTGCCCTCTCTTCCTTATTACGCGCTCGAAGCTCTACTAACTCCTCCTTAGTATAGCGATAATAGACGGATTCTAGTTCTACCGTGCCTCCGCGCTTAATTAAGGGCACTAGAGTTACGAAYAATAACTGCTAAGAGCGCTTAGAACCCTCCGCAATATTACTTAGCCTTACTATTRTTTCTATAGCTAATACGGCTTTATCTAGTTCCTTATCCTAYATTACGTCTAGCGGCTCCGGTTCCTTTTTAAACTCTATTAACTTCCGCCTCTTTAGCTTTATCGCGTTAATTGYAGCCTACGCTTTAGGCCTACGCGATATAGAGCGCTATAACCTCCGTAAYACCGGCTAAGTAGAAGGGGGAGGCATATAGCGTAGTAATAATAGCTATAGCGTGTCCGGTAGTAAGGAAGGGCGTAGAGGGCGCTCTTTACGCGGTAGCGAGGATAGTAGCGAAGAAGGGCAACGCGACGAAATATTAATAGCCTCTTAGCTCTAATCTAGCGGCGTAGGNAGAGGGCGCTCTTTACGCGGTAGCGAGGATAGTAGCGAAGAAGGGCAACGCGACGAAATATTAATAGCCTCTTAGCTCTAATCTAGCGGCGTAGGCATAGCGAACGACGAACAACACCTTTTAAGAAGCCTTAGCAGCGACACGGACAGGTATATTAGCCTAATTAAGACAGTTGGGGGTAGCACGACGCTCTTCCGATCTAAGGAAGGGCGTAGAGGGCGCTCTTTACGCGGTAGCGAGGATAGTAGCGAAGAAGGGCAACGCGACGAAATATTAATAGCCTCTTAGCTCTAATCTAGCGGCGTAGGCATAGCGAACGACGAACAACACCTTTTAAGAAGCCTTAGCAGCGACACGGACAGGTATATTAGCCTAATTAAGACAGTTGGGGGTAGTAGAGGGCGGTGTAGTACTAATATTAGTAGTAGGGCTCTCTAGCTTCCCCGCGGGAAAGGATCCGAGTAGTAAGGGTGTTAGTGCTAGCGTTCTATAGCGTCTACGCT